ACCGGAAAATGGGTCTTCCGCGTCAAGACTAATGCAGATGGGTCGTTTGAAAAGTTCAAAGCACGATGGGTCGTCCGCGGATTCGAGCAGACTTACGGCATTGACTATGAACTAACCTTTGCTCCTGTCAGCCGACATACAAGTGTTCGGATTCTCCTTTGTGTCGTCGCCTGTCGTAATCTACGTCTTCGCCAAATCGACGTATCGAATGCATTTCTCTACGCACCTGTCGACGCACTCATCCTGGTAGAGTACCTGCATTCTTATACTACTAACCCACCGAGCATTTGCCGTCTACGAAAATCTCTGTACGGCATTAAACAGGCACCACAGCTCTGGCAGCAGTATCTTCACTCGCAGCTGATCATTGCTGGATTTCGACAGTTACCGCATGATCAGGGAATGTATCGACTGACCGACGGCAGCAACTACATTTTACTCGTTGCCTACGTCGACGACATCCTATTCGTCAATACTACCGATTCCCTCGCTGATATCTTCATACTGAAATTACAGGAAAATCTACAGATTACCGTCTCCGAAACAGTCTCACAGTTTCTTGGCCTGAACATTACCAGTTCACCGACAACTATTCATCTCACCGCTTCTAAGTATGCAGCAATACTCGCTGCCCGCTTCAACCTCACGCCTACTACAGTCTCTACACCGTACCGCTCGCTACCGACTGAACACAAACCAAACACCGCACTGTTAACTTCAACTGGTTTTCAGACCTATCAACAGCAGCTAGGCTGTCTACTTTTCGCAGCTGTCACTTGTCGTCCTGATCTAGCCTACGCGGCCAGTCAGCTCGCTCAGTTCCTACGCCGTCCCGAGGAGGAGCATCAGCTTGATCTACTTCGTGCGCTTCAGTATTTTATCTCGACACCTGACGTTGGATTAGTCTACAACGTCATCGGCTGTAAAACACTCTATCTACACGGTTTTGTTGACGCTGATCACGCTGCTAATTCTACTAATCGACGGTCGCGCATTGGGTTCATCTATCAACTGGAACCTATCGGACCTATCTCTTGGAATTCTACGAAGCAGGAGCTAATTGCACTCTCCTCTGCTGAAGCTGAGTTTATTGCTGTCTGCACAGCAACACGCGAAGGACTTTACTTACAGGAACTATTGGAAGAAGCGAAGTTGACGACAACTACCCAGTTTACCCTACAGTGCGACAATCAAATTGCAATTCGCATCGCACATTAACCTGGTTTCGTCAACAGGACGAAGCATATTTCGCTTCATTACTTTTTCGTCAAAGATGAAGTCGAGAAGGGGAGGATGCGATTGGTCTACTGTTCGACCAACGAAATGGCTGCCGATTTTCTCACGAAAAAGCTGACACGACAGAAGTTTCAGTACTGTAACAAGCTCTGCGGAATCTTCAAGAAGTGACACTATCGACGTTCCAGAAATGAAGGGGAGTGTTGTGATATAATTGATACTTAGCATTTCTGTAAGTCGATTAAGTGTAGTTAGTGTCGAATCATATTGTAGAAGATAAGTCCGTAGGATGACGTCAGCAAATAGCGCTCGTCAGAGGACAGTCGTTTTCAGTCACGCGAACAGTCGCACCTCTTCATTATCATCTAGGGCGCATAGCGTGATAGTGACGAACAGGTACATTAGCGAATAGGTACTTTTGTTAGAACTATAAATCCTTGTCATGTCTTTTCATTATTAACTTTTGATTACACACAAGTTCACGTACTCAGGTTATTCAACCTTGACTATTACATTTACAAGACTTCCGCTGTCTTACTAGTCTACTATTCCAGCAAAGATCCTGGACCAACACTTGAGGATTTGCCAAGTGTTCGTGTTTATAGTTTTATACTTAGTCTACTACAACACCATACGATTTTCTTCAACTGTCACTCCTCACTTGAAACAAATGAACGGATAAAGTAACACACAAAACAAACGAAACGGAAAATATGTTTACGTGCAATATGTGGTAGTTCATTTGGGGTTGTGCATGTCATAAACGCTAGGTAGCTAGGAACGGTAGGTAGCCATGGAATGGCGTGAGGGTTGATGAGCTAAGAACTGGGAGAGAAATTTGACGAGAGAAAAGAGAGTTGGAATAGAAAAGAGAGAGGCATACAAGGAGGGAGTTGTACCCTATACATTAGAGTTCGATAAACCTACCAAGTATATCAATTATATAACAAAATATATAATTTAACACACCCCCTAGGCTTGGTAGTCACAAGCAGGGCCTCAGATAGGATTTTGGGCATCTTGACCAATCAGGGCTGGCCTCCAAAAATCCGTGTAGCACTCAGGGTTGGTTGGCTATATTCATACTGAATCCTCAGGGTGGTTCCCCTGTTTATACTGTGCCCTCAGGGTAAACTCAAAAACGTTGGAAACGTTGTACTGTACTAAGTTACATTGCACAGCAGCAGTATACTAACAGGATGTCGGCACTTCATGTTTTGCGCTAGCTTAGCCACTATTGGTCAAAATTTGACGAAAATCTACGCACGCATCAAATCAGGCCGGGAATTTTTCCGGCAGTCTGATTGTTCAGGGCCTATTGCTTTGTGAACCGATGCCAGGCCTTTTTCGTGTCATTAGGGATTTCGCTTGTCAAATTTGCCCGTCAACGCAGTCTTGACATGAATTAGCGTGACTTGTGTCGGCGTTGAGACACGCCCTCAGTTGAAAAATGCCACGTCTGTATTTCTAGAGGAAAGTCGAAGGCATGTGGGCGAACTTGAAACATTTGCCCTTGAGCTGTTCTGACGGCCCGTTTGAGTTTGGATGTTTGGGGGCTCCAGGGAATTTTGGGCATTGCGAATTTGATAGCCAAGATCTGTTCAAGTGAAGTAACAGAAATTTGGGTCGTTCAATCGTCGACGAGATTGAATCGTATGTTGAGACTTTGGGGGGTTTGAATACAGTGCGTGCGGAAGACTACGCTAAAACGGGTAGGAATGTCTATCTCGCCGATATTTTCGGGTTGAGGGGGGTTCGTGAAGGATTGTCTCTAGGATTGATGACTTCACCGAAAATTTAGAGTAGCGGGGGGGGGGGGGGCGAGGGGGTTGGGTTTCGTTCGAGGATTGTCTCTAGCATTAAGGACTTAGCCAAAACAGAGTAGCGTGGGGCTGCTTTGTTGCTAGAGACGCATTGATGACTTCACCAAAAAATTAGAATGGGGGGGGGAGGGGGGAGGGGGGGGAGGGGGTGGGTTTCGTTCGAGGATTGTCTCTAGCATTAAGATCTTAACCAAAATAGAGTGGCATGGCGCTGGTTGGAGGATTGACTCTAGCATCGAGGACTTAGCTGAAATTTGTTTGGGCGGAAAAACACAAAGCATGCGCCCGTGGGGCACGTGCATTTGCAAGATTCGATGAATCAGGGTTGTCCCCGAAAGCATACTGACACCTCAGGGCTGGTACACGAACACTATACTGAAACTTCAGGGTTGCACTATGACTTAAAACTGAATTTACAGGGTGGAAAATAACCTTAAACTGAATTTTCAGGATTGACCCCTAACAAGTATCCTGAAAATCAGGAATTCAGGATAAAACATCCTGATATCTGAGGGGCTGGTCACAAGCCTACACACACCCATACCCCCTAACCTAGCACCAGGGCCCTAGATTGGTTTTGAGGCTTCCTGATCCATCAGGATTCTCCCTGCAGAAAATTCTGAATTTTCAGGATCCCCGAAAAAAAAATCCTGAGCCATCAGAATTACTTCCAAAAAAAAAAACTGATTTTTCAATCTTTCTATACATGTTATAGTTCATGACTTTTGTGTGTTCAAGTCTTGGTTTTTGGGGGTGCTGGGAATTCGTAGCGAATTCGCGCGTGTGTGGCGAGATTGGGGGATGGGCAGGAAACGACAATTGGTGGGGGGGAGAGGGGGGAAGGGCTGAATAGGGGGGGAGGCGGCGAGATTGCAGGGGCGGAGGGAATCTCGTCCCTCGCAGAGCCCTAGGGCAGGCGCACATCAAGCAAATTTGGCCAAGGGCCAGCAATTGCCCTCACACAGTCCTCCTCAGCACACCTCCCTCACATGACCTCCAACATACAGCGCGGAGATTTTTTTGACCATCAGCGCCCTCATACAACCTCGGGGGGTGGGGGAAGGGGGGGGGGGGAACCTCGAAATTCTTGACTGCCCCCCCTAGACACGCTTTTGGAAAGGACTAAGACCCGCTACAATGCTGAGAAATTCAGGGTTCGCTAAGAAACCTTGCTGAGTGATCAGAGTTTACCCTTACAAAAAGCCCGAAAAAACAGGGTGTGTCATGTACAAAACCCTGCACAATCAGGGTAAGTACCGAGAAACTCCCTATTTTTTTCCTGAATCAGGAAAATTTTCCTGACTTCTGGGGGCCTGCCTAGCACCCTCATTCCAAGCATCAGCCACGTCTACTCCGGTGGGGCCAGCCCCCTCAGCCCGTGAGATGGCAATGGCGGCGGCATGCGGCGGCAACAGGCCAGCGGCGACAGCGGCGGCGACGGCGGCTCGGACGTCAAAGGCGACTGCAGCGGCCCCCGCCCTCTCGGCGGCATGGCCAATCCCTGTGGCGATGGGGTCCCCCACGAGTCAGGCGTCAGCTGTGGCAAGGAGGAGGGGACGCAGGGGAAGGAAGAGGGGAGGGGGCGGTGCGTGGTCCAGCATCATGCTCGCGGCTGGCGTGCGGGCGACAGGTCTAGCGGCTCCATGGGCGTCGCGCGGCCGGCTGCAGCCCCACGACACCGTCACACAGCGGCGTCGATGCCGCGGTGGGACGTCGACACTGCGACGGCAGCACGACGGCGCCGTCACTCCGCCACAGCTGGACGACGACGACGCCGCCACGACTGGACGACTACGACGCCGCCACGACTGGACGTCGACGCCACGACGGCGTGACGCCACGGCAGCGCGTCGAGACAGCCGCGGCACGATGCGGCCAGCGGCACGACGACGACGCCGCCACGGCTGGACGTGGTCAACCCTGTCCCCTGGTCAACCCTGTCTCCTGGTCAACCCTGTGCCCTGGTCAACCCTGTCCCCTGGTCAACCCTGTGCCCTGCCTCACCTCAGCGGTGCCATGGCTTGCATCCAGCAGCACTTGAATGACGTCAGCAGCACCGTCACCACCACTCGTGTCCTCTGCATGTGCCGTGCTCCCTCTTGTCTGCGCTGCAGCAGCAGAGCCAGCAGCGCTGCCCACTCCGCTGTTCCCATCCATGTCTCTGCAGCCCCGCTCCCCACCGCCCTCCCACCCCGGCCTCTCGCCCTCTGCCTGCTGCTGCTGCTGCGCTGCGCCGAAGCTGAAGGCATGCATCCACGTGTCGGCGCGCAACTGGTCCACCCACTCCTGGCCCCAGCTGACCTGCCGGGTTAGAAGGGGACCATGGACAGCGCGGATGACGGGAAGGACACGGGAGCGGGATGCAGGGATGGCAATGGGGATGCAGGGGGTATGAGGGAGAGAGAGGGCATATGGGTGAGGTGGGGAGCGGGTTGGCGGGTGCGGTTGCAGGGATGAGAGACGAAATACTCAAGGGCCATCCATCTGCACGGCACGCAGATGATGCTTCGCTGAGCGGCATACGCTGGCCACTGATTCGTGCAGAGCCCCTCACCCTCTCGTGCAGGAAGAGCCCCCCCATGCTCGTCAGGTGCACCGCGCTGCCCCGCACTCGCACGCGCACGCCCTCCCTCGCCACGCGCACAGGGCCAGGGGAGGAGGCGGATGTGGCGGTGGCGGGGGCAGACGAGGATGGGGACGGGGGTGAGGCGGGTGCAGCGATGGCGAGATGAGGCACATGCAGCGAGATGAGGCTGCGGCCTGGCAGGGGGAGGGGGCGGAGGACGGAGGGCAGAGGAGGGGGTGGAAGGAGGGAGGGGGATGGAGGCAGTGAGAGGCAGATGCCAGTGCGATTTGCAGGCGCAGTGGACGGGGCGGTGGGACGGCGAGCAGACAGAATGTGGCACAACGGGTGCGATGGAAGGGTGGTTGTGAGCGTGAGACGATCTTGGGAGGGAGGATTCATGGGGATGGTGAATGGTGAGGGCAAGGGTGCATGGCGGATGATTGCACGGCAGCAAAAGCAGCAGAGTCAGCTGGACCGAGGGAGGCGAGGAATAAAGGAAGACTTGGGGGGAGGGTTGGGGGGAACGACTAGGGGGGAACGACTAGGGGGGAACGACTAGGGGGGAAGGAAGAGGGAAGGGAGGAAACATGAGATGCGGGGGTGGGAGGGAAGGGGGATGCCGTGAGCGTTCAGAAGAGGGAGGGGTGGGGGGAGCAGCAGCAGGGAGGGAGGGAATGAATGAAGGGCGGCTGTGCCAGGGACCGCGCGTGGCGGGCACGCAGCCACACCTGCTGCGATGCTGGCCTCGCTCACATGCCACTGCACCGCCTCGCTGCTGCTGTTGCCTCCTCCCCCCTCCTCTCCTCCCTCTCCCTCCATTCCCTCTTCTCCCTCCACTCTTCCCTCTCCCTCGTCTCCCCCTCTCTCCCCGGAACCCTCAACCCCAGCTAGCCTGGCGCCAACCGTAATTGCCATGCCACGATTCAATGAAACGCCGCCACCTGTTCTCCTTCCACATGGTGCGTCAGTGCCACGTGGAATCCTGAACAGCCGCAGACTGCCCTCACGCGCGCCTCGCCCCATCGTCACCGCGCATGCACCAGCGCCACATCCCCGTGGCGCCGCGGCTGCTGGCTGTGCTCTCGCGTCAGGCAGGGCCACAGAGGCAAGTGACTCGCCAGCGATCCACGGTGGGGATGGGGGCCAGCGAATGTCCCGCCTCGCCCATCTCGCGCTCTCCGCGCTTGCCGCCTCTCCACCGCCCGCCGCGACCGACTCCACTCGAACACCGCGGGCCACCCGATCGGCCAGCCCTCGCCGCCTCCGCGCGTCCAGCAGCGCGCGCGCCTCCCACTCGCACCACGCTTGCCGCCCATCGCCGCTGCACCACTGCGCTGCTCGCTCCGCCGCCCGCCGCGCCGAGGCGACCCCGGGGCCAACCATGCGCGCAAGTGAGCGGGACGAGAGCGGTGAGCGACAAGATCCTGTGGCGCGAATGGCGCGCTGGTAGCTCACCGCGGACGGCCGCCGTCGATGTGCCCGCCTCAAGGGGCGGCGAGGGCACTCGGCGTGACCTCGGTCGCTAGGGGCGTGCAACGCGGAGGAGCGGCAGGCTGCATCCTTGTCGCTGAAGGGATGCGCGCGCGCTGCCGGGGCGAGCGCAGCTGGGGGAGCGAGGTCGCGGAATCGTCCCTGAAAATACCCGTTAGCGGACGGAATCGTCAAAATATTACCCGTTAGCATACGGATTCGTCGAAGAGCTAGCTACTCCTGGTTTGAAACATCCTTGAAGGCAAATGGCCTTGGCCAGGGCTAAGGAAAAGCCGTCGAAACCCCAGGGACTGTTTCTCGCAGATACGACACCTCAGGGCGGGTCCAAATAGTTCAATTGAGGATTTTGGACACGTTTTTACGAACTCGGGTACGACAACTGAAAACGATCCCAAAATCATTGAGATTTTCCTCACTCCCTCCCTGCTCTGATGCCTCACTCCCTCCCTGCTCTCATGCCTCACTCCCTCCCTGCTCTCATGCCTCTCTCCCCCCCCACGGCACTCAAGCCATTCCCCCTCCCCTGCTCCCTATCCTCTCACCCATCCCTGCTCTCCCTCTTCTCCCCGACCCCTGCCCTCCCTCCTGCCCCCACTCCCCTGCTCTCACTCCCCTCTCCCATGCTCTCACTCATCTCCCCCTCCCTTGCTCACTCTCATCTCCCCCTCCCTTGCTCTCACTCATCTCCCCCTCCCTTGCTCTCACTCATCTCCCCCTCCCTTGCTCTCACTCATCTCCCCCTCCCCTGTCTCGCTCCTCTCCCCTTCCTCTGCTCTCACTCCTCTCCCCCTCCCCTGTGTTCACTCCTTTCACATCCCATGATCTCACTCCTCTCCCTTTCCACTGCTCTCACTCCACTACCCCTCCTCTGCTCTCACTCCACTACCCTTCACTGCTCGCATGCCTGACTCCCTCCATGCTCTCATGCCTCACTCCCTCCCTGCTCTCATGCCTCACTCCCTCACTGCTCTCATGCCTCACTCCCTCCCTGATCTCATTCCTCACTCCCTCCCTGCTCTCATGCCTCACTCCCTCCCTGCTCTCATGCCTCACTGCTCTCATGCCTCTCTCCTCCCACACGGCACTCCAGCCGTTCCCCCTCCCCTGCTCCCTATCCTCTCACCCATCCCTGCTCTCCCTCTTCTCGCCGACCCATGCCGTCCCTCCCCCCCCCACTCCCCTGCTCTCACTCCCCTCTCCCATGCTCTCACTCATCTCCCCCTACCTTGCTCACACTCATCTCCCCCTCCCTTGCTCTCACTCATCTCCCCCTCCCTTGCTCTCACTCATCTCCCCCTCCCTTGCTCTCACTCATCCCCCCCTCCCTTGCTCTCACTCATCTCCCCCTCCCTTGCTCTCACTCATCTCCCCCTCCCTTGCTTTCACTCATCTCCCCCTCCCTTGCTCTCACTCATCTCCCCCTCCCCTGATCTCGCTCCTCTCCCCTTCCTCTGCTCTCACTCCTCTCCCCCTCCCCTGTGTTCACTCCTTTCACATCCCATGATCTCACTCCTCTCCCTTTCCACTGCTCTCACTCCACTAACCCTCCCCTGCTGGAACCCCCCCTTCTCTGAGGGCACTCTCATGCCCCAGGTCCCTCCCCCGCTCTCTCTCCTTTCCCCCTCCTTTCCGCAGTTCACCTCAATCCCTCATTCCTCCCTTCTGTTTCGCCTCTTTCCCTCCCTGCTCGATCGCATCTCTCCCTCCCTGCCTGGGTCACCACTCTCCCTCCCTGCTGTATCGCCTCTCTCCCTCCCCGCCCCATCGCCCCTCTCCCTCCCTGCTCATTCGCTTCTCTCTCTCCCTGCCCTATCGACTCTCTCCCTCCCTGCTCTCATGCCTCCCTCCCTCCCTGCCTTATTGACTCTCTCCCTCCCTGCTCTACCGCCCTCTCCCTCCCTGCGCTATCGAATCTCTCCCTCCCTGCTCTATCACCTCTCTCCCTCCCTGCGCTATCGAATCTCTCCCTCCCTGCTCTATCGCCTCTCTTCCTCCCTGCCTTATCAACTCTCTCCCTCCCTGCTCTATCGCCTCTCTCCCTCCCTGCTCGTTTGCATCTCTCCCTCCCTTCTACGCTCGCCTCTCTCCCTCCCTGCTCTATCGCCTCTCTCCCTCCCTGCTCTATCGCCTCTCTTCCTAAACCCTGCTCTGTCGCCTCTCCCACTCCCGCCTCTCGTGCCTCACTCCCTCCCTGCTGAATCGCCTCTCTCCCTGCCTTCTAGACTCGCCCATCTCCCTCCGTGTTCGATCACCTCTCTCCATACCTGCTCCATCGCCGCCCTTCATCCCTGCTCTATCTCCTGCCGTCTTCCCTGCTCTATTGCCTCGTCCTCCCTGCTATATCGCCTCTCGCCCTCCCTGCTCTATCACCTCTCGTCCTCCCTGCTTTATCGCCTCTCTCCCTCCCTGCCCTATCGCCTCTCTCCTTCCCTGCTAGTTCGTATCTCTCCATCCCTGCTCTATCGCCTCTCTTCCTCCCTGCTCTATCGCCTCTCGTCCTCCCTGCTCTATCGCCTTTTTTCCGCCCTGCTGTATCGCCTATCCCTCCCTGCTCTTGCGCCTCACTCACTCCCTTCCTGCTGTATTGGCTCTCCCCCTCCCTCCTGTTTCGCCTCTTTCCCTCCCTGCTCTATCGCCTCTCGACCTCCCTGCTTCATCGCCTCTCTCCATCACTGCTCGATCGCCTCTCTTCCTCCCTGTTCGGGTACTTGCTGTGGGACGCAGCGTGAGACAGCATGGCCGTGGGGTTGAGAAGAGCTATGCGGGTTCGGCGGGTCGCGCGGGCTCGAAGCGGGGAAAAACGGAAAGTGTGTTCCCCTTTGCAGCCAACTAGCGCCGACGGCGGGGGAGAGCGGGTAATGGGCGGCTGCAGGCAGCTCGGCGCAGCTAGAGGCGGAAGTGGGAATTTACGCGTGGGCGCCAAGCATCGTATGGTTTTTTAGAATTCTCCTAAACCTAACTGCCCCAAATCAGGGTAGCGGGCTGTGGGGAGCGGGATGCTACACGATGCGTCATGGCAAGCTAGCCACATTACGCTCTCGCTAGGCGCAAGCACGGTGACGAGAGGACTATGCTAGCGAGGAGGCCGGGAAATGCTACGCATGACTCCGTTCTGTAAACAAAACGGTTTCTGCTAGTCCCAAATTGCAAGCTTCGGTTCTTCCCCTTGGCCCTTTCGTCCCTCGGTTGGAGTCCGTGCTGGGGTTGGCGAAACCTGGTTTCCCCCAGCGTCGAATCACAAGCTTCCCTTCTCCATCCTCCCCCCACTTGTTCACTGTTCTAAATTTGTACAGGGTAACCACTCAGACCCCCACAGAAATTGTTAACAAAAAAGCTCGCGCATTGTAACTTGGGACCAGGGCTTTAAAAGGAACTAGGCTAGGTAGAAAGTATGCGCCATGAAATGGCGAGAGGTTTTAGGAGCTAGGAGAGAAGTTGACGAGAGAAAAGAAGGTGAACTAGAAGAGAGAGAGGCATACAAGGAGGGGATTGTACTCTCTACAATAGAGTTCGATAAAAACTACCAAGCCTACTAATTATATAACAAAATATGTAATTTAACACACCCCTAGGCTTTGTAGTAGAAGAACCCACACACACCCACAACCCCTAACCTAGCACCCCTGTTCTCAGCCACAGCGACAGTTACACCATCTCAGTCGACTCCTCGGCGCGTGAGGCGGCGACGTCGACCGCAGGGGCTGCGGCGGCGACGGCGGCAGCGGCGGCAGTGTCGACAGCGGCGGCGACGGCGGCGTGCGGCTGCATGGCCCCAACGCAAGCAGCGACAGTGGCGGCGGCGGCGGCTTCAACATCAGCGGCGGCGGCGGCGGCGGCGCCCGCACCTCTCGGTGGCGTGACCAGGCCCCGCGACGGCGGGACAGCCAGCGGGAGTCAGCCGTCGTCTGCGGCGAGGAAGAGGACGCATGGGAAGGGGATCGGGGCGTGGTTCAGCCTCACGCCCGTGGCGGGCGTGCGGGCGGCAGGTCCGGCGGCGCCACAGACGTCGCGCGGCGACTGCCGCCCGACGGCGCCGCCGCGGCATCCTTACGACGCCGCCACAGCACGGCGTCAATGCCGCGGCGATACGTCGACGCGGCGATGGCAGGTCGACGGCGCCATTACGCTGCCACAGCTGGACGTCGACGACGCCGCCACGGCTGGACGTCGACGCCACGACGGCGCAATGCCACGGCAGCGCGTCGAGACGGCCACGGCACGACGCGGCCAGCGGCACGATGACGCCGCCACAGCAGCACGACGCGGTCGCCATGGCAGCGTGCGAGGGAAAGAAGGAGTGCACGGCGGAAGCGTGGGAAGAAGGCCCGGGATGGGGAAACTGCTCTGATACCATGTTAAAAGGAACTACGCTAGGTAGAAAGTAGGCGCCATGAAATGGCGAGAGGTTTTAGGAGCTAGGAGAGAAGTTGACGAGAGAAAAGAGGGTGAACTAGAAGAGAGAGAGGCATACAAGGAGGGAGTTGTACCCTCTACAGTAGAGTTCGATAAAAACTTCCAAGCCTACTAGTTATATAACAAAATATATACTTTAACAGCCCTTAGCGGCCCCCCGACCCCTCGCGCGCCCGCTGGTCCCTTAGCGCCCCGCCGGCCCCTCGTGCCCCGCTGGTCCCTTCCATGCCCCACCGGCACCTCGCACCACGCTGGTCCCTTACGCGCCCCGCCGGCCCCTCGCGCCCCGCTGTTCCCTTACGCGCCCCGCCGGCCCTTAGCGCCCCGCCGACCCGTCGTGTGCCCCGCTGGTCCCTTACGCGCCCCGCCAGCCCTTCGTGCCCCGCCCGGCCCTCACGCCCAGCTGGTCCCTCCTGCACCCAGCCGGCCCTTAGCGCCCCGCCTGTTGGTTAGAGAAGGCTATAAGCAGATGATTCAATGGCTCCTTGGAAATTTATGCAGCACTTCGTTATGACGCCCAGAAAACTCGCGACCTTCGAATACCTATATCCAAAACTCCAATCGGTGAAACGATCTGAAAATCGGATATGTTGTCGCTGGCAGCGTCAGCTTTCCACTGAAAGTTGAATCACTCGATTCCGTAGCTTAACGAGTGAGCTATGGCGTTTGGCGCACTGGGGGGTAATCTGCCCTAGGAGAAGTTGACAGTCCTCAGAGTCACTATGATTGAAGCTTACAAGATCAGAGGCATAATAGAAAAGGCATTGAAGCACAGTTGGAAGGTGGGGTAGGAAGGGAAGGATGAAAGGGAAGGACCCTGGAGGCCCATGGTCAAGAACATGACAAGAGTCAAAGTTTTGACTCCCCATCCTCAGGTTCAACCAGCCTGGCAAGACAAAATTCACACTGTGCCAGGTTGGCCTCCAAACCCCAAATGCTGCAGCTGCAAGGTGGGGACAAAAGTCCCACACATGCTGGTCCCTCCTCGTTATAGGGCTCTCCAACTTTGGTGTAGCAGCTGACAAGGACTTCCAATGAGTTGTAACAAATCCATCAAACATTTCTTCGTAACTTCTTCATATGTGCTCCGATTCCAACAATTCTTGGCTCGTTGGAATGTGCTCGATGTCATGCACAATCTAAGCACTTCTGCACAAGCACAAGATGAACATGCAAGGACATGCAAACCCAACAAACCATACAAACAACGTAGCACACAAAACACATGCAAACGAAATGATGCGAACAGACGACAGGATGACGTGCAAACGAATATGCACCAACACACTCCCCCTCAGACTGTCGGCTTGTTTCGCCGTATCTAGTTCAAGGACATTCCCGCCATCCTCGCACAGCGCCAGTGTGGCTCTCCGCTTGGTAAGGAAGTCGGCTGGCTGTTGCTGAGTTTTCACGTAGATCGGATCCAGTGTCCCAAGCTTCACCTCCTTCCGCAGCCAATGCCACTTGATCCTCATGTGCTTGTTCAACCCATGAAGAACTGCATTGCGTGCCATGGCAATGGCTCCCTTGCTATCACTGAACAGAGGTGTCGCACAAGTCTGTTCATGGCCGATCTCCTTCAAGAGCCTCCTTAGCCAGATGATTTCTTTTGCCGCATGAAACATCGCCATGTACTCAGATTCCACTGAAGATAGTGCCGTCTCAGACTGCTTCTTGGACCTCCAACTTACAGGCCCACCTCCCACCATGCAGATGTATCCACCAACTGATGATGAATCCTCATGCTCAGAAGCCCACGTGGCATCAGCAAAACAGGAAAGGAACACCTTTCCTTCTCCGAGCTGCTCCCCCTTCTCTTTGAGGACTTCAATTCCTTTTTGACTGAGTTGAGCAGAGGCTGAATACTGTACTCCCACTGTAGGGTATGACTTGAGGTAGCGCACCACTCTCTCCGCTGCACCACACTGCTCTTCTGTTGGATTTTGCACTACTCGAGCCAGCTGTCCCACAGCAAAGCTGATGTCAGGCCGAGTATGCACAGCAGCGTAGAGTAGGCTCCCGACCATGGATTGGAATTGCCTCTGGTCTTCACTCTCAACTCCTTCTCCTTCAGCTGCCTTTATGAGTTTGAACTCGGAAGGCAAAGGTGTGACCACTTCCCGTTCTTCCTGCAGAGAGTACTTCTCAGCCAAGGTGTGGATGTACTGTCCCTGATGCAGTTTGAGCCAGCCACGTTCAGTATCCCGCTCAATGTGCATTCCCAGGTAGTACCTTGCCTCTCCAAGTGACTTGCACTTGAACTGCTCTGTGAGCTTCCGCTGCACCCCATCGATCTCCTTGTCACTGCTGCTGAAGAGCAGGATGTCATCCACGTACACCAGCAGAAGCACAAGTGACTCCCCCTCTCCCATCAGGAACAGGCTCTCGTCGCATGCACTCGCACGGAATCCAATCCCTTCCAGTGCACTGGCCAGCCTGTTGTACCAGCATCTCGGGGCCTGCTTCAAGCCATAGATGGCCTTGTTAAGTTTGCAGACACGACCGGTTCCATCCTCATAGCCAGGTGGTTGAACCATGTACACCTCCTCTTCCACAATGCCGTACAGAAAAGCGGTTACGATGTCCATCTGCTTCACCTTCCATTTGCGCACAGCAGCTACCACCAGCAGCACACGTAGCGTTGGAGACTTAGCAGTTGGGGCAAACACTTCTTTGTAATCTTCCTTCTCTTTCTGCTGAAACCCCTTTGCCACCAGCCTGCTCTTGTAAACTGATGGCTCTCCTTTCTCATCCGTCTTGATTTTCGCCAGCCACTTGCACTGTATTGCCTTCTTCCCATTTGGCAAGTACACCAGGTCCCATGTGTGATTCTCCATCTGGCTGTTGTACTCTGCATCTCTTGAAATGAGCCACTTCCCCTGTTGAGGCCCGGCTAGCGCATGATCCATGCTCGGAGGTTGTATTGGTGCGTGAAAGCAGTATGCAGGCTCCTCGTCATCTGACTCTTGGTCATCACCCAAGAACAGCACTGCATCTTCGCCTTGAGCCTGTTCCTGCTGCTCAGTTGTGGCTCCTCCACTTGTGGAGCTCAACAGCTTTCTCGTTGCCATTCTGGTACGTGCAGGGTAGATGGTTGGATTTACCCATTCTTTCACCTTCACCCAATCCTTTGTCCCCCCACCAATCTGTTTCCTTCGCTTTGGCAGACTTGGTGCTTTGGAAGCCTCTTGCTGCTGCTGCTCCGGATCATTGACTTCAGCATCAGCTGCAATATCCTCATTGCTTCCTTCATCAGTACCGCTTGCCGTTGGCGCAGTGACTTCGCTGTCCGCAGGTTCGGACAGATCGAAGTGCATAGTGATCTCTTCCAGCTGCTGGGTGACCCTTGCCTCCGGCTGCTTCTCCCACTTGCCATACATGATGTTCTCCACAAATTTGACATCTCGACTGTCAAACAGCACATTCTTTGAGGGCTCCCAGAGTAGCCACCCCTTGCTCTCTGCCGCAAGCCCAAGGTGCACACACCAAAGTGCAGATGCTCCAAGCTTTGTCCTGTACGGTTTAGGGACATGCGCCACTGCCATGCATCCGAACACTCGAAGCATGTCCACTGGAGGCTTCTTTCCAAGCCACCTCTCCAGCGGCACCCACATATCATCAGCCACCTTTGTGAGTACGCGGTTCCTTGCCACTGTAGCATGCCTCACCGCATGAGGCCACATGGAGTTCCCCAGCCCTGATTCGATCAGCAGCGCTCGCGCAGTTTCCAGGATGGTCCTATTAGCCCTCTCAGCAACGCCATTTGACTGAGGGGTATAGGACGTCTCGCACTTGGTATCATTTGGTTGCCCAGAAAGCTTGAGCCCCTTTACTGCTTCTTCCTTATGCAGTTGCTGCAGCAATGGCATAGCCACATGCCCTAGACGCCTGTGTGCAGTTTCCCAATCAGTCTCCCCCGACCTTGCAGAAACCGTCACTCCTGCAGCACTAACTGCATTACACTCCCCCTGGACTCCAGAACCCGCCTTTACTTCTCCCAACTCCTTCTTTGTTGATTCCCATATCAGTGCAGGGATCTGCCACATGGATCTGAAGACATCTCTGCTTTCGTGTAAATCCCATAACACACGATCTCCTCGCAACCCCTTGAATGTTTTGGATCCATTGGTGGTGGTGCTGACTCCGGCCTGGCCTAGCTTGCGCAGCGATTTCAGATTGGCCTTCAGCCCCGGTACGAGTAACACGTCCTTCAGCACAACCAGTCCACCATCAGGTGCTCTGAATGCAGCTCGATCAACTCCAGCGACCTTCACTGCATGTCCGGATGCTGAGCGCACTTCAGAGATTGGAGGCGCTCGCACAGCATCCAGCAAGTCCTTGCGTGGTGTCATTGTCCATGCAGCACCAGAGTCCATGACCCACATGTCAAGCGGGTGCAATTCCTCTCCAGCCCTTGCAACAGCTGTGCCACTGTCATCTTTGTCACACACATGGTAGAACTGTCCAGCATTCCTCTCCTCATTTCCCATTCCTCTGTCGTCCTTGGAGGTTTCTTCAGCAGGATCAGCTACCATGTTGGCACCTCCATGTGGTTGCTTTCCTCCATTCCCCTTCTGCGATTGGTTCCAAGGGGTCCACCAGTCAAGCTTGGTAGGGCAGCGAAACCATGGATGCCCTTCTTCCTTGCAATACCAGCACTCTCCCCTCAAGCGTGGTTCACTGTTGTCATTGTTGGAGTGACCACCTCTTCCTCTTGCACCAGCGCCACCACGCCCCCGCTGGTTCCAAGTCCCGCGACCACCTTGGCTGTGGTAAGAGCGACCGTGATTGCCACGCCCTCGATCCCTCCATGTCCCTTGCATGGCATAGCCGCTGGTGCTGTCATCACCTCCGCGCAGTGTATAGCGACGAAAATCTTCTTCCAGAATCTTGGTGCTAATCCACTCCAATGTCCATTGACTTTGGTTTTGTGGCAAGCTGAGTCCGCTTATAAATTGCAGCCAAGACTCCGGCAGCAGGCTGAGCATCTTGAGACACTTTGTCTGCTCTGGGTACGTGATGCCTGCAATCGCCAATTTCGCGTAGAGTTCCCTCATCTTGTCCAGTACGGGCTGCACAGGTTCATTCTCGCTCAACCGCAGCATGGACAGCTCCCGATCCAGCATGAGAGAAGCGGCAACCGATGTCGGAGCGTGCAGGTCCTTGAGCACTGCCCATGCCTTGGGCCCACAATCAATTTCCGGTAGCAGATGCATGATGTGATGCCTCTGGTTCAGCTCCAAGCTTTGTGACAGTAGATAATACCCAGCAGATGAACGTTCATCCCAGTCCGCTTGCTCTGCCATTTCCTTTGGCCTTGGCTCCATTCCAATCATGAGCTTCAAGAGGCCAATTTGTCGAAAGTAGAGCTGCATCTTCCATGCCCAATCATCATAGCCATCTCCAGAGAACTTCTCAATGGTGAAGTTCTTCAGCACCTCCTTAAGCAGTGACCCCTGGCTTGTACGCGCTCCCCTTTGCACTGCAATGCCAGAATCTTGGGTTGAGCTGCCTCCTTGGACTGAAGTATCACCTCCACCAGAGTCCTCCTTATCTCCCATCGTATTTTAGGTCCCAAATGCATGATAATAGGCTCTGATACCACTTGTTGGTTAGAGAAGGCTATAAGCAGATGATTCAATGGCTCCTTGGAAATTTCTGCAGCACTTCGTTATGACGCCCAGAAAACTCGCGACCTTCGAATAGCTATATCCAAAACTCCAATCGGTGAAACGATCTGAAAATCGGATATGTTGTCGCTGGCAGCGTCAGCTTTCCACTGAAAGTTGAATCACTCGATTCCGTAGCTTAACGAGTGAGCTATGGCGTTTGGCGCACTGGGGGGTAATCTGCCCTAGGAGAAGTTGACAGTCCTCAGAGTCACTATGATTGAAGCTTACAAGATCAGAGGCATAATAGAAAAGGCATTAAAGCACAGTTGGAAGGTGGGGTAGGAAGGGAAGGATGAAAGGGAAGGACCCTGGAGGCCCATGGTCAAGAACATGACAAGAGTCAAAGTTTTGACTCCCCATCCTCAGGTTCAGCCAGCCTGGCAAGACAAAATTCACACTGTGCCAGGTTGGCCTCCAAACCCCAAATGCTGCAGCTGCAAGGTGGGGACAAAAGTCCCACACATGCTGGTCCCTCCTCGTTATAGGGCTCTCCAACTTTGGTGTAGCAGCTGACAAGGACTTCCAATGAGTTGTAACAAATCCATCAAACATTTCTTCGTAACTTCTTCATATGTGCTCCGATTCCAACAATTCTTGGCTCGTTGGAATGTGCTCGATGTCATGCACAATCCAAGCACTTCTGCACAAGCACAAGATGAACATGCAAGGACATGCAAACCCAACAAACCATACAAACAACGTAGCACACAAAACACATGTAAACAAAATGATGCGAACAGACGACAGCATGACGTGCAAAGGAATATGCACCAACACCGCCGGCCCCTCGTGCGCCCGCTGGTCCCTTAGCGCCTCGTCGGCCCCTCGAGCCCCGCTGGTCCCTTGCGCGCCCCGCCGGCCCCTTGCGCCCTGCCAGTCCCTTGCACCCCGCTGGTCCCTTCCCCACACGGCCTGGCCCCAGCGCCCCGCCGGCCTCTTTTAAGCCCACCCGGCCCATCATGACTCCCGGCCTTCTTCGTGCTTTGCTGGCCCGTCGCGCTCTGCCGACCCTATGAGCCCCGCTCGGCCTTCCGCCCGGTCTTCCTACTGGGTAGTTCTGCCGTCGCGCCACAGTGCCTCTGTGTAGCTGTGCCACTGTATCGCCGTGGCGCTGTGTCGCTGTGCTGCTCTTCCCCTGTCTAAGCGTCCGCGCTTCACTGCTGTAGCAAACGCCCAGGACTTCTTAGAGGCCGTAGTTGCACGCTACTCCACGCCCCCCTCCGCCTCTGCTTGCCGCCTGATACTCCCTATGCTGTTACCTAATCTTGCCGCTTTCCCCATTGTAGCTGACCTAGCCACTCACTTCCGTGCATTAGAGGCTAGCTACCGCGCTACTAGCACTGCCGCCCAGCTGACTGCCTTCCCCGCGCCGTTCTGCGCTACCCTGTAGCTCATTGCTATGCGCCTTCCGGACCGCTTAGCTACTGCCCGTGACCACTTCCTTAGTCAGCACCCAGGTGACTTTGTCACCGCCCTGTCTGAGATAGAAACTCGCCAGCGCACTATCGCTCAGTCGAGCGGTACTGCGGCTGTCCGTATCTTCCAGGGCTGTGCGCCCTCCCAGTGCACTTACGCTGATGTGTCAGCCGTTGTCGTAGAGACAGCCCTTGCTGCTGAGACCGCCGCTGCGGTCTTCACACAGTTGTGCCCGCGTCAGGGGCGCGGCCCCAAGGGGGGGCGTGGTGGAGGTAGGGGTGGTGGGGATGGTGGAGGTGGGGGCGGGGACAGTGGTTCCGACGAGGGGACCGAGACTGGTGCCTCGGAGCAGCAGCAGTCGCAGTCGTAGCCGCAGCCGCAACAGAAGCAGTCGTAGGGCCGCCTCCCACCGGGGTGGCCCGGTACCTCTGGTGGTGGTGGTCGCGTTGGCGGCGTGCGTAGTCCAGTGTCGGGAGGCAGCTCTAGCACTACGAGTTGCCAGTACCAGCTCCAGACTGGCCCCCTTCACGGCACTGCGTGTGGTCGCCCGCACCCTACGGCACGCTGCTTCCACCGCCTTGACGACCTCTTTCGTCGCCACTTCGGCCCGGCGCCGGACCTTCTTGACTGGTGCAGTCTGCTGCGCTACAGTGTGTCTGTCTTTGAGTTAGACATGGATCAGATTTGTGCTGCTTTGCATTCCCTGTCTGCTGATGCTTTGAATGTGTCCGGACCTTATAACCCATTGTTGCCTAGTTTAGGTATGCCTCCTATGTGTAGTCCAGACTCCCCTGCTGCGTCAAGCGTAGGACCTTCTGCCTTGTTTAGTCTTGGCTCCACGCTTGCTCCTCTGCCAGCCGCAGCTACCGCTTCTCTCTCCTTTACGCTTGACTCTGGCGCCTCTGCCTGCTTCTTCCGTGACCATACCGCGGTCTCGCTGCTCGCCGCGCCTGCCGCTGTCGCGCTTGCTGATCCCTCCTCTGGTCCTTTCGTGGCCCGTAGGTACACTACCCTTCCCTGTCTAGTGGTTCCATTGGGTTCCCTTACAGGTCTGCACA